CACCATCACCACCACCATTGCCTCTTCCACCCTCACCATCATCACCGGCCCCTGAGTATACTGCCACATACATTCCTACTTTCTTTCTGGAGCAACTTTGTTGTTTGCATGATTTGGTTGTCCACTTGGCAGTTTATGATTATGTCAGTCCTTTCTGCACATTGATTACAAAAAAGCTGACACCTTTCACCTCGGTAACCTAAAAAAACAAATGCTGGTGTCACACTCATGGGCATGATTTATGAGCCGGTCAGCGCACTTCTAAATAATCTCCAACGTGGAGTTTTTTGACAAGGATGCAGGGGAGCCTTTTTAAACATGAGAAGGAGGGCGAGGGAGGATTCGGGGAGGGAGGCATCTATCACCAGAAACAGCTGTGCCAGGTACGTAAGGGAAACAGATTTCTGCTTTAGATTTGCAGTCTTAATACTCTGCAATAAGAACCATCTGCTCCAGCCCTGGCGCACTGGCTCCCTGCCCGCCAACTCCAGGCCGCCCCCCACCCCACCCCGCCCGCCTGCCTTTGTCCCAGCCCTTCCCCCCTCCTGGGACGCTTTGTCCTCTCCTACCTGGCAGAACCCAAGCCCTGCCCCACCTCCGTGCGCTTCTGCACAGCTGCCTCTCTTCCAACCCCATTTCCAGTATCTCCCTTCTGGTACAATGGACATGCTGCGGTTGAGTTTACAAAGATCACTCTTCTGAGGAGAGGAAAACGGGGCAGGAGGGGGCTTAACAGGGAAGGGCCCCAGGGGAGGTGGGACCAGCTGAGAAGCGTCAGCAGTGGAGTGTGACCCAGTGACCGTGGGCAGCACTGCCCGTGTGGTGGGCTCAACAGCTGCTACAACAGCAGACCCTCAACGTGCTCATCGCGAGGAAGGCAGCATTTCCATATCTATATGGAGGCGGGTGTTCTCTGTCGTGGTGGTCACTTCACAGAACCTGTAAGTCAGGTCATTCTGCTGTACCCCTTAAATTTATACAGTGCCAATGTCAATTACATCAACAAAACTGGAAGAAGTAGAAGGAAAAGGCCGCTGCAAGGGTCCACATGGAATATACCAAGGGTCTTAACACGGACGGACCCCGGGTCTGGAGACGGGGTCTGGAGGAGAAGTGGAATCTGAAGGCTTCTCACCATGCGACTCAGGGAGCAGCATTTGCTTTCATCACAGCAAGAAGCCTACTTGCTTCTCCTCCGGTCCACCGTGGCACCTGGCAGCATGGAGGTTTCCACGGTGCTCGGTTGGCACCGATTGAGTGAGTGGCCGTTTCACACCGTCAGAGCAAGCCCTCTGTGCTTTGTGCCAGGCCACAAGCACTTTACCCTTAGCTCCCGCCTTCACCGGCAGGTGTGCACCGCCCCGGCCCCAGTTCACAGAGCAGGAGACAGGAGCAGGAAAAGGTTCAGACACGTGTGCAAAGTCACACAGCCACCGGGGGCGGGGCCAGGACTCGAATTCAATGCCACCCGGACTCTGCGTCCTGCCCCTCTGAGGGTAGACACCCCAAGATAGAGCAGCTGTAAGACACTATGTTTAGACAGAAAGAAAAGACCAAGGACGGTTTCGATAGCACATTTTATTTTAATCTAAGAAAAATGATTAAATTCAAAGTTCAGAAATATAAAAGATTATCCGATAAATTTATGGTCATAACTGTTTCTTAAGCAATGGTGACGCACACTTGAGCTGGTTTTGTGGCTCCAAAGTTTCAGCTTTTTTACTTTGCACAGTTTAAATACGTAAGAAGCCTCCTAAAATATCTTCATGCATATTCACAGAGATCATTTTACAGGACACGTGTGGGGAGATTTGGGGCCATGAGGGTTCTTTCTTGGCCAAAAGTCTGAGCTAAGACAACATCCCCGGGGCCACGCACAGCTCTCGGCCCGGCCTCCAGGTGGCGCCGTGAGGCCAGGACGCTTGCTGGGGGCGGCCAGCTCGGAGTGGCCGCTGGCTGGACACTGGGCCAGATCCGCGGCTCACGGCGGGGGCCTTGGGTTCCTGACCCTCCCCTCACAAGTGCCTCTGGGGGGAACTTCCCACTGGCATGTTCTCATGCCCTGGGGGCATTTGGAGAAGGATGGGGGCAGCAGGGCACTGCCAGGCCCTGCTGCTGGCCGCCAACGCCCACACCACCCGGGGCACAGCCTGTCCTGCTGCGCCTTGTTTAAGGAGACCGTCGTCATGGTGCTCAGGTGACACTTCACAGCGGGTCCCGGTGGCCACAGTAGGACAGGCAAGGCCAGGTGTGAGGGAGAACGGGGAAGGGGGCGCAAGGATCCCGCTCCTTTCTGACCTTACAAGCAGTGTGAGCGGCACGGCAGGGACAGCAGGTGACACAGTTCTACAGAATCACGAGGCTTCGACACGACTCAGGGAGGCTGCGAGTGCAGCGGGGTTCAAAGGCGGCAGGCTGGCACGCGTGTGAGTGTGCTGGTGGGGAAGGCTCGGGGCCGGAGCTGCGGGGCCTCCCTGTGACCGTGTGTGTGACCCCCAAGAGGAGCCCAGATCCCTTCCAAGTGCAGCTGCACCGAGCACAGACCCCAAGGTCAAAAGAGGGCACATACATTGTATGTGCTCGGTCTTCTGAAGCCAGCCCCGCCCTTTTCACAGATCAAAGCAGTCTGTTTAAATATCTCATTTCTACAGAGTGAATTTACATTTAAAGTACAAAGTGCAAATACTATGTGTTTTTGTTTCTGTTTTTTTAATTGCTTTTTGGTGAGGGAGCCTCCCACACGTCTAGGAACCGCCCTGGACGTGTCAGCCACTTATCCTCGCTTCCTCGGCTGGAAAAGAAAAGACGAAAAAAGAGACATCATTACGAAGTTCGTGTCCGTCATCAGTGAGGACGAAGGCTTGCCTTCCAGGAATGAGATAAACCCATCTGATGCCAACAGGCAAGGGGCGGGATTTTAAATATGGGAAGAAAAAATGCTGGGCTGGTCATTTGGGGCATAAGGATGAACAAACAACAATAGAAACATTCTGCACGCTTTCCTCCTCAGTGATCAGAAACATCAGCAAAAATGTGTTCCTCGCTGAGAAAATTAGCGTTTACTCCTAATATTGTAAGTGGACCCCACGTAGTAAATGTTCTGCAGAAGTTCATAGCAGCTCAGATTTATTCTACAAAAATAATTCCAATAATCTAGTTTAGGCTTCGAGTTGGATAAAGTCATTGGTTGATTTTTTTTTCCTTTTCATCCTTCCATTCACTATTCTACCTGTATAAGAAATGCAACTTGAAAAGTTTGTTTAAATTATTCGAATTCTATACTCTGACCACCCATTAGAAGTAGTTTAGAATAAAAGGAAAAGCTATGTACAATCTTCTAGATTTAGTTTTCCAAGTGTGCCAGTTCCTACCAGTCGGAGGGGCTCCGTGCTTCTATTCGAGGAGCAATTAACCGTGAACGTTTAGGAGGTTTCTGGGTTGGCCTGATTCCCCTGGTGAGGATGAGTTGGAGGTGAAGAAGGCATCTCCTGTACTAAGCTCATGAGGAGTTTTGCTCTAATTAGTTATGGAGAAAGGTCAGCCCTCGCCGTGTGTTCCAGATACGAAGGCTGGTCAGAATCGGGGGAAGAAAAAGTGGGCTAACGTGAAACCTGCACTGACAGCAGCTTCACAGTTCTGCTCTGGTCACTTCCACGCATGAGGGAAATTCGAGAAGAAGCCAGGGCGACACTCACTGATTAAAGACTAGCTCCCGTATCCTCCCCTCTCGCCTTCACTCAATGGTTCTAGTCCACGTTATTCATACAGTGAACGATTCTGGTGGCTGGTGCTCACTTATTCTACAGGGAAATGTTTATGATCTTCAGTTATTTTATCAAATGCAAACCACAGCTGGCTTACGCTGAAGGACTTCACTCCAGGGCCGTGGCTCGCAGGGACAGCCACTGAGACCGTGGCATGGAAGACGGTCCACTCCCTCAGGCATCACAGAAAGAGCCGGAGACAGCGCTCCAGTTTCTCTTTCCGGGAAAAAGCTGAGTGAGGCCTGGGTTCTGAATTGAGTGCGCGCCCTGCGCCAATCATCACCATTATCTAATGAAAACAACCCTCAGCCGTCCTGGAGCTCAGCGGGGGTAATTGCTTTCAGACCAGCCCTGCTCTAAAGTGTAAGTGATTTGTGGTGGGATTTAAAAAGTTAAAACCATAAACATTTGCTAAACAAAAGAAAACCGTATCACACATCTTTCTAATGAAAAGGTTTTAAATGACATCCAAGGTGTGCGTTGGAGGTCTCCACTTAAAACCCACAACACAGGGCTTGCCTTAGGAAGTGTCGACCTAACATCAAACACGCAAAGACAAAATAAACAACAAATTGACGAGTGGTCCTAAGAAAGGAGGGTTTGCCTGGATTCCAGGGAGGGAGAAACGAGTCTGCTCATGTTTCTGGAGAATGTTCTGCCCTTTGGCTGGGCTGTGCCGTGGGCGGCTGGGCCCAGAGGCCGTGCTTGCCCCTAACTGCGCACATGGAGATGCAGACTCACGGACACAGAATCTGTTTGGAAGCACAACAGCAGGAAACTGCAAATCCCTGTTGGAGCTGCACACGTGTCTCACTAAGATCCCTGATGAAAAGGGGTTGTTCGCCCGAGTGCCCAGAGGGTCTCCTGTCCCTCCATTTCCCTACCAAAATGGAAGGAACACAGTGCAGATCTCTGGAGAATGGTTTTACAACAACCATGCATTTCCACAGAACAAGAGGACACAGACATTTTTCTAAAAATAATAAAATAATTGAAATTTCAAATACTGAAAAAAATTAAGGCCAAAGCTTTGAGTTGATGGTTTAACAAGTTAATTTCATAGAATCTTGCCAGGCTCTTTTGGGTACATTCACAGGGGTGTAGCTAGCATATGTTGCCTCTCCTGGATTGTTTTTTCTTTCTTTTTTTTTTTTTTTCTTGGAAGGTACTTCACTCTCCAAATCTACATAACCCTGAATTTTTATTGCTTATAACCAAACCAGCAAATTATTCAGGCTAAAATACAGACATACTCACCTGTCTATTGGAAGTGCTCTCAGCATTACCTTTAGGGGCTGGCAGGTAAAAAAAAAAGAAAAAAGATATTATTAAACACTGAATACTCTCCATTTAGTGAAATGTTTCAGATAATTTTTCAGGAAGCGATCAACATCACTTTAGGAAAGTGCCAACAGCCGGCAAACTTGTTAGGGGGTGGGGGTGGGAGAGAGAGAGAGGAAACCTAGATTATGAATCGTGGATTCTAAAAGTCCAACTTTACAGGAATGTTTCTTTTTACCCCAAATTCCAAGGGTCTGTCCACCAATGGTGCCGACCTTTGTTCCCGTGTTTCTCAGACGTTCCCAGGAGAGCGGACTCAGCCCCCAAGTCTGGGAAGGAGGCCCTCGGGAGTGTGCCAACACCAGGTCTTTGAAATCTTTTGGTTTTATATTTAAATCATGAGAAATGAACGTGTTTGGCTCAAAATGATTTTTCCCAAACCCTCACGGGAAATGGAAGCTTCAGGGAGATGCGCGCTGCGTGGTTCATTTTGAGGCTTCACCACCGGGCACCTGGTGGGGGGCAGGCGGCTCAGAGGCGACCACATCTCGGGCGCCTTTCCCGCCTCGGCGTCCTCCCTGCAGAGACCCACTCCCCTGGGACCCCCTCAGCTCTGCTCCTGGGAACTGTCAGCAAGGGCCCAGGATGGCCTCCCGCGCTCCTGGCGTCCCCGTCACCTCCCTGCCCACCCAAAACTGCCATCCCCAGTGGCCTCGGGCTTCTCTCCTCCCACCCACACACTGTCACGGGCGGGCTCAGCCAGCCTCGTGGTTTTAAACAATACAGTAAGTCCCCGACTTACGAACCAGTTTTCGTTCCGGGAGAACTTCGTAAGTTGGAAGTCCGACAAGGTGAGTCTTATGCGCCCCTGCTTTTCCTCAGCGTCCGGGCGCCCTGGGCTCTGAGCGAGCCCTGCTGCTCACTGCCGCTCTGCACAGTGAGCACACGCAGCTCCACCGGGACAATGTCCGGCAGGCACGGGAGCTACTCCCGCGATTTGTTCGCAACTCGAATGTTCGTTAAGTCGGGGACTTACTGTATCTGTTTCCTGATGACCCCCAAGCGTGTGTACCTCCAGTCTCCAGGGCGGACGGCTGTCCCCAGTCAGACTCCCAGGTCCAGTGGTGCCGCCTCCGTTTGCACCATCAACAGGCAACGCAAAGGAAACAGGGCCAGACTGACCTCACATCTTCCCTTCAAAGCCTGCATCCTTGCCCGTTCACCTCCCATGTCCAGCACACAATTGCTCACCCTACTCTACAGCTTCCGGGGACACAGGACTGGTGTCACCCATCACTGCCCCTTCTCCTATGCCCCCATCCGATCTGACCTTCAAAACCTATCCAGAGTCCAAACACTTTCCACCACCCCACGGTTGCAGCACCCAGGCCCCCCGCCATCACCCTCTGTCCCGCGGACCCCGTGGTGACCCCTTGCCACTCCCCCTGCTTCAGCCCAGCCCATCTGCAAACTCCATCAGCTCAGCAACTGGAGGTCCTTGTAAGATATGAGTCAGAACCCGTCATGCCTGCTCAAACCTTCAGTGACCGCTTGTTCAGAGCAAAGGCTTCCTTCCAGGGCTCGGGCTCGGCGCCCGCTGCACGTCCCTGGCCTCTCCCAGCTGCTCCTGCCCCGGCTGCCGGGCTCCTCACCACTCAGTGCCCGCTGTCACCTCCCCGCTGTCACCGGGCGGGCTGCCCCCCACCCAACGTCTGCATGGCTTCTGCTGCCCCTCCTTCACGCCCCTGCTGGAATGTCACCATGGAGATGCCTTTCCCGCCCCCCCTCAGCTCAGATCTCAGCCCCCACCCTCTCTCCTCACGCGGCCTCTCACACATCACTCGTCCCACGACGGTCTGCCTTATTTATCTCATTTCTTGCTTCCACACTAAAAGGTAAGCTCTAGAAAGATGTGGATTTTTGTCTGTTTTATTCACTGTTATTTTTCCAATGTTCAGAGCAGGAAGCACTCAAAAAAACATCTTTTGAATGAATCAATAGACAGAGAGCAGCATTTTTTTTATCCCAAATGGCTTGATTATTGATTTCTATCTATGTGATAAAAAATACTGAGTAAAGAGCAAAATCATTCTATTTTTAACCCCCTTCTTCTCCTATATTAAAGCAAACTGAATCACATGAGAAGTTGAAACACAAATGTACTAAGTAAATTGCAAAAATGTTAAATAAATAGTAGATAAATGGATTATTTTTTCAATCATAGGTGAGAATGACTCAAGTACTTGGGTAACTACAGCCACTCTTCACTTTGCCTAAAATGACTACTTTACTGAAAAACTTGGCTCTGGAGCCATTGATTCAAATCTAAAGAATATTAGAGTGATTCTTCAAATCTATTCTAAGCCAATTTGGCTATTCAAAAACTGCCGTTTTTGTTTTTTTCTTGGTTTCTTTTATGACAAATCGTCTCCCTGGTGGTGGGAGGAAGCTATAGATTAAAGGTAAGTTGCAATGAGAAAATGTTTATATTCTTAAGTGTTAAGAAGACAAAGGAAGCCTTGCAATATAGGTGAAAAGAAAAATTTCATTAATGACACATGGTGGAATATTTCATTCCAGGTACACACAGTGGGGGAAATCACAACTTAAAATATGTCAAGAGCAATACCCCACTGTTAATTATTTGCAAAGGAACAGTATGGACATTATCAAAATAAAGACAAAGAAAGTCACCTCCACGGAGAACACAGGGCTGGGACGAGGGCCGTTTCGCAGGCACCTCACCACCCTCAGTGTCAGCTGGGGAGGTTACGTCATGGGTGTCACATGATGCTGATTGTTTCCAGGTGACCTGGCAGACAGCACTGTGGCCCTGAGGCAGTTTGCCCCAAAACAGTGTAGCTAACATGGCAATTTGGTTGAAAAAGATAATTTGGTCAAAATGGATTTTCCTAATTGCTGAGTTTCTGTGTAATGGTCACTTCGGAGGCTCACAAGGGCATGATGTAATCTCTTGTGATTTTGTTTCTGGATTCTTCAGAAATATTTTATCTTTGGCTTTATCGTTTCTTAATAGTTTTCAGTTGTTTTTCCTTTCTGCATTTTTAATAATCCAAATTTAGATAAAACTTTCCAATAATATGTCTTAATTGCAATCATTTGAATGCAAAGCCTTGTGTAATTTCTTAAAATAAGTGGTATTAGAAAGTATATATGTGGTCTCATTTTGTAGTGAAAACCATAGTACATAGATACGCACAGAAATGTTTTTTTGGATAAATATGGATCTAGGTTTAATTATGTCTGAGAATAAAAAAACCACATGTTATTCATGTGCTTTACTTGATTTCTCATGTTTTTAGAATTAAAAAGTGCATTGTGAAGTAGTAAGCAAACATAAAGGTAACAGTTTGAATATTTGGAAAACCCCAACTAATCCTCCCTGAACATTCAGGTTTTCTGACTTTTCACTAATTCCAACTATGCTTGATAGGAAAAAATAACTGATAATCAAATCAAATCAAATCAAACTGATAATCAAATCAAATCAAAGTAGGAAAAAACTTAGAGAAATTCTGCAGGGAAAATACAAGGGTTCTCAAATCAACTCATTACGCATCCAAATTCCCAATGCTCATTTTTTACAAAATACCCACTTCTAACAAATTCTAGCTTATATTTTGGGGGAGGGGTCACATCCTATCTTCTCCGTTACTAATAAGACAACACAACTCAGACAATATAACTCAGACACATTACTTTAGTCACAGGGACCCAGAGAAAGTAACTGGGGAGTCTGTCGTCATTTTAACATTCCCAGTGAGTGACGGTCACAACGACAGAGACCACACTCGCTGTCCCCCTGACTCGTCCCCCTTCTCCCGGTAATGGGGCTGTCTGCTCCCCGCTCTCCACGCCCTGCACAGGGTGTGCAGACGCCTCCCAGCGGAACTGAGAGGGCCAAGGACGCGCCACCGTCAACTCCGGGCACCTGCCTGACCACGCACGCGTGGGTCCCTTCCGCCCTCTGCGTCTCGATGCCTCCTCCTCAGCTCAGGCCCCAGAGAGAGGACAAGGAGCCGACCCCCACCCTGGAGCCGCGTGGCAGGGTGCGTGAGCCAGGGGAAATGCATCCTGTCTGTGTCCCTCCAGAGGCAGCGCGACCCCTGGCAGAGGCCGGTAACATCTGACTCAGGCCAGTAAGACCCGCAGTAACAGTGTGTCCTCACAAGACCGTTCCTGTCGCTGTCAGAACCCCATGTCACCTCCACGTCCAAGGGTGGGCAGCACTGGCCCAGAACCCTTTCCTGTCCTCTCTGTCTGGTGGGCAGCCCACTCCGCCCTCCGCTGTCCGCAGACACACAGTGACGCGCCTGCATCACCCACATTCGTCTCCTCAACCACGGGATCCTAAGTCTGCCCCCAAGCAGAGAGTAAAAGGACAGGCCCACACACAGGGCAGGAGTGAGACGTGTCCCACTGTGGGGAAGTGTCAGCATCCTGTGTGGGGAGCAAAGCGAGTGGGCCCAGATCTTTGCCACTGGTCTCCCTCCAGACATTTTCAGGACAACATGGAATGCAGCCAGCTGCAGAGACCCTGCTCAGAAGTCACCAACACGAAGCAACGCTGCCAGGATTAACGTCTCACCCGGGAAGGAGCACGAAACCTTTCACAATTACACGGATCCTGCCTGGACCCAATTCAGTGGATCAACGTTGAGTGGCTATTATGACAAGTCTGGGGGACAGAGAAGCAAACAGGGTCATTGCCATCCCTCGCCTTCCAGACACCCAGGCCTAGGCTGGCTGCGAGGGTCCTTGTCACCTTGGAGGTGCAAAAACAGGAGAGGGTGTGACGATCCCAGCGCATGGTATGCCAGGATCACCCCCAAGTGTGTTTCCTTCTCAAATGTGCCACCAAGGTCGACAGGAGAATAACAGATGAACGACGGGTCACGACGGACCTCTGCACACGCTGGCCAGCACCCGGGCTTTGTATAGATGAGAGAGCCAAAGCCCCCACCCCAGGGTGAAGCAGCTTTTCCGGCACCCACGGGGGCCAGCGGGCGGGCGTCTCCTGAATGTTCCCTGCTGGGGATGCTTGGGACCAGCTACCACAGGGTTTTCTCTCTGGGTGACAGGTGGTTAGTTAGGCGACACCCACACAGAACGATATACTCAGCTGAGCGAGACGGCCGTGGGGATAACTGGGTGGGCAGCGGGGGTAGCCTCACTGCTTATGGACTGGCCGAGTCCGTGTGCAGGGCTAGCCATTTAATGCCAGTGGGTCCCAGATTTGCGGACCTCAGCGGGGGACAGTCAGCCTTACACTGCACGATGCGAGGCTCGCCTCCGATTCCCCCAGCTCCCCCTGTTCCGGACCCCTGCCTCCCGACGGAGCGGGTCAGTGAGGGCCACCATCACTTCTACAGGCAGGTGACCTACAGTCAAAGGGGACCTTCCCTGTCCCTTCTCCCTCAGACCGTAGGACAGCCACAGACGTGGAGCAGTCTGATGGCAGACGGCACCAAGCCGCGGGGCCCGGCCGCGTGGGGGGCCGAGGGGTCCTTACTGTGACGCTTCCGCGTGCGGGATTTCCCCTCCTCCTTGGTCACGCCCAGGCAGCCCATCAGCTCAAGCACAGACAGGGACTTGTCGTTATTCACGTCGCAGTACTCCACAAACTTCTTCACACACTTCTTGGGTTTGGATTTCTTCCGAAGGAATCTCTTGAAGGGCTTGATCTCCTTTTTGCCGATGTCCCCACTGGAATTTTTGTCAAGTAGTTTGAAGTACCAGTGGACCACTCTCTCCTCCAGCGTGTGGCTGGGGTCGGGCTCGGAGAGTCTGGAAGAACACAGAGGTCGTCAGGGACACCCCGCCAGCTGCCTCTGCCGGCGTCCGTCCACCACAGTCTCCCCGGCCTGCATCCCGGAAGGAACGCCTGGCTCGTGGCGCTCACCATCCCGACGCCTCAGCCTGTCTGGATTTGCCATTTGATATAACGTTTATTTAACAATAAATTAGAGAAAGGGATTTAGCAGAAGTTTATCAAGTTGGCTTCAAGACTGCAAATGACACGGGGACTGTGCCTGCCCACCGTGCTGACCAAGCCCGTGAGGAATAGCGCCCTGGACCCCAGTCCTGTGCTCCCTGGAGCTGGCAGGTCAGCGCTCCCATCAAGGTGCACCCGCAAGACACTGGGACCCCGAGGCTCTCCCATCTAAAGGGGCTCTCTGGAGTATCACTTATGTCATAGGTACACTGAGAGTTGCAAACACAAGTATGTCTTAAAGTGGTCCAGCTCGACGTTTTCCCTTGGGTGAAAAAGTTCTGTATTTTTAGATATAAATAAATAAACCCTCCACTAGAAGGCCTGGATTTGAGTCGGGTCTTTGAAACTGTCCTAGATGGTAACACGTGCCCTGTCACAAAGCAGAAGATGAGGGACAGTGTGATGAAATGTTACCCGTCTTCCCTCATGCCTGCTGGCCTGGGAGAGCCCTGGGCGCCCCGGGGCCGGGTGTGGAGAGCGACTCTGATGCCCGAGTTCACAGTTACCAGGGCACTCTAATGCCACTTGAGGTTTTCAAACTCCCAGAGGACCTTCTCAGGTAGCAACTCATTTACATCTTTCAGTTTTAGTTTTTCAGATAAGAGCAATCTTTCCAAGAATATGTCAATTTGAAATTTAGGTGATTTTTTTTTTCTTTTTAAGTTTAAACTACTACCTGGCTGCCACCACTTCTATTATCACTGTCTTTTTCTTTTTCCTCGAATCTTACTCTTCAGCAGAGAGACAGAGGGGAGAGCCTTTCGGTGAAGGAGACCAGAAAGCTTAGCCCCTCGATGAGGTGGCACCGTCGAGGGCCTGGGGGCTGGAGCAGAGGGAGGCCAGAACGCCAAGGAAAGCAAGGTGATAAGGCCCTCCATCAGAAAAAGTTCCCTAAAATAAAGAGCTATATCATTCCTCATTCCCGGGGTTCACACCCGCGGGACTCGGGGAGCCACCCTCACATGGGCAGTTAGTGACAGAAGCACTTCCGGACACGGCGGCTGGCTCTCAGGATGCGGAGAAGCTCAGTGTGTCCACCACGCAGCCTAGAGAACAAGTCCTGTCCCAGACGCAGCGTCAACGGTGGCAGAGCGATTAGTGCCACTGGATGGCACACTTGAAAATACTTAAGATGGTAAATTTTGTTGCATATATTTTTCCACAATAAATACATAATTGAATATTTTAACGCATAGTATTTAAAATTCAGGCAACAGCTTTGAAATGCAATGCCAAAACATAAAGCCATCGGAACGAGGGCTCTCCCTCCTTTACCTCTCCCCTTCTCCCCATGAGGACAAAATCCCTGCTAAACAAATCACCTCCACACCCACGAAGCACCTTCCTGTCTGGGGGCAGGACCCCGTCCTTGTACGCCCTGCAGTGTCCACAAGAGCTGACCAGGACTCCAACCTCTAACCGCAAGCCTTTGACTTCTGGCTGGTCAGCTCTCCCCCAGTTACTGGGGCTTCCTCCCAGCTGCTGGCTGTGATCAGAGGCAACGTACCTGCCGGAGGAGGCGGGGTCGGAGACGGCATGGACCATGTCGGTGGAGAGCGCGTCCAGGACACTCGTCAGAAACTCATTCTTTTTGGCACCAGGACAACCTGGAAAAATCAAGTATGTGTTGTTTTTCTATATCACAGAACTCACAGGGCATAACAGGTTTCTCTCTGTAATGGGGAGAAATGTTGCTTTAATATTTGAAAATTAGTACATCGGGGTGTCTTACTATGAATGAGCCCGTGTGAACACTCATGGAGTCACATGGATATCTGTATCTTGAACCACAGCTATTCAGCTATTGTGCTCCTCAATATTTGACACTGAGTGATTACACGAGACTGACCTTCACGGGCATCACCAGTCACTGGCCTTCAAGCGGCAGCCCCAGGTAGGTGCGTCACCCTCCATATTACCGAGGAGGCACATGGTGCTTGGGAACATCCGGAAATGCCCCAGGGCCACAGTCCTGGAGGATGGCGGGCTGGAGGGCCATCCGGGCGAGCGTGTGTCCACAGACCACACAGCGTCAGAGTCACTGAGTTCACACAGAGCTGAGCGCCCCAGAGAGAGCTGCAGCTGCCTGGCACCCCTTGCCCCAGCTCCCCTGCTTACTCACACCCACGTGCCAGTCCCTGGACCCCTGTTCCCCTCCCACCTGTCCCAGGGTGACCAGGGGCTCGCCTCGTCTGCACTCCCGAAGCAGCAGTGAGGGTCTCCTGTGTGGAGCACGTCACATGCTGTGTTGTGACACGCTTATCCGGTTCAGGATGCTCTGGTTTTCATAAAACGCCTTTGGCACTTGAGTTTCTTGTTATTATGAGTCAAGTACATGCTAGTTGACTATAGCAGGGACCCATTTACGCCAGTTTCCACTTTATTAAATACACACAGACGCCAGTCCTCACGGGGAGTGGCAGCTGAGTGTGAGACGAACCGCATTACCCGCTCTGAACACGGCTGAAAAGTAGGTTAGAATCGACGGGGGAAGCCCACAACCACTGGGACAACGTTACTTTTCAAGAAAAGGTAATTATTTCACTAGGACTCCCCTCAGAAGAAATAGAAGGTTTGAGGCTGCAGCTGTGCGGCGGCAACCAGGGTGCCCGGGGACGTCCCGCGACGCCCCTCGCTCCAGCTCAGAGAGGGTGGCGGCCTCTGTGAGGACCACGCGGCTCCCTGGAGCACCGTGCCTGGCCTCCAGCCAGACCAGGAGCGGCCACAGGCCCAGGAGCCCGCTGGCAAGGAGCACGGGTGGCCGGCCGACCCAAGAGGACATCCCCCGCCGGACGGCAGGTGCCAAGGGCAGGTGTGTCCCAGGGGCGCACGTAACCCCTCCTCCCCCGATGGCCCAGGGAACCAGCCAGGGAGCAGCTGTTCCCTGTGGACGTCCACACCCTCGTTATCCTCAAGAGCCCCAGGGCGGAAGTGGAGTCAATGAGGAAAACCGAGGCGTCTGCGGAAAGGCTTCGCGTCAGCGCTGAGGGGCTGCAGGAAAGGCAGGCGCGCGGGGGCCACTCCCACGAGGCAGGCCCGGCTGCTCCTGTGCTGCTGCTGGGACCACAGCCCCGAACGGGACGAAGCAGCGTGAAATTCTCGTTAGAAAATGACCGACAGCTATCACGAAGCACAGGGCTGCCGGCACGGGAAAGCTTCGGAGTCCTTCATGCCAGAGGGCACATGAAAGTCTGATTTGCTTCATAGCTGGAGATTGTAAATCCACCCGCAGCAGTGCTTTCATCGTGGTGTAGATTACGGACTGACATGCACAGCTCTTCCTGCTAAGGAGTTTAGTCCTCGCAGGAGAGAGGCACTTGGGTCCAAAAAGAATACTTTCCATTTTTATTTGCAAAGACTCTGGGTTGGGGTTGGATTCGGAGCTGAAGGTCAACTGGACTTTGAGTGGCTAAGAGGTGGCCTGAGGAAGAAGCCCGACATGTGTTCACGTGTCTGTGTCCGCCTGAGCTCATAGGACACGGTTCACGTGCCCTGTGACAGGACCCACCCCTGATAGGAATATGACATTCCTGGCACAGTCATCCTGGTCCGATGCCTGTCACTGCACGACAGGGGACTGTCATTCAAAGCTATTGCTGAGAAAAAAAGACATGAAATGAGGGAACACCAGGAGGAATAGTCGAGAACTCATTATTAAGAAGTGAAGTTTCACCGTACAAGAAATGACAGAAGTGCCAGGAAATCACAACCATGAGCAAGACCGGGTTGCCAAGTGCTCAGAAGGGGCCATGTGGCTCGAGGTACAAGGGAGCCCCCCAGGCACACAGGAACCCCGCCCGTCCCCACAGTCACTCCGTCAGGCAGGCCCTGCGACCGAGGAGAGCAGGCTGTTCCCATCACAGTGAGGACGACACAGCACAACAGCTTCCTTTCAAACCTGTGATGAGATAAAGCCCCTGGCTGGGCCTGAAGACGCTCGCTCTACCCCGCTCACGTCCAGGAGCCCACGGAAACACTTGCATCCTATCGCATTTCTCTGAAAACACTTGGTCGCTGCTGACTATCGAGAAGGTTCAGTCTGCGTGACAAATAAAGGGCGTCTTCCCTGGTGGGAGACTCTTCTGGTTTGGGTGGGGAGGCAGAAAATGGAGCTCCATCCATTCAGCTGATCATTTACAGGAAAGAGAAATGCAATGGCTTTGGAACCCATTCTTACAGCTTAAAACCCAAAATACAGAGAAGAGGAGACCACCGACAGTGGCCAAATGGGGCTGCCACTGCCGGAAAGGCCATCTGCACACGAGACATGGCAGAGACAGCCTCACAAAGACGCCCCCACCACGGGGTCGTGTGGTTTGCAATTTGGGCTCATTGACCTTAGTGGAACTTGAAATGTTCACATTAAATCATGACACTGCCCCCAGTTAAAAAGTACTGTGCTCTCTCATTTTTTCGTACCAGCCAAAATACCAGAGGTGCCTCAAAAATGTATACAAGTGGGCACTTTGGTCAGCGTTGCTCAAGCAGCAGTTCGCCATCATCAGAAGTGTCTGGACGCTGATGGGAACCACTGTGAACACCTCTTGTAATTGCATAAGTCCAACGTGACTTGTGTTTCTCTTTTGTTATCGCATATATTGAGTATTACAATTTGAACATTTTTTTCCTTTCTTAAAATGTGTATATTTTTTTGGCACCCTCTGTATTTGGCTCTTCCTAAGTCACCAATTCTCATTAATTAAGTGTTGAGCTTAATAATCCCCAAGTACGACTCTTCCTGAAACGTTCTCTAGGTACATCTGGCTCTGGGGTCCTCCATGTCCCACCAGGTGTCCGGGTTTACAGAGGCAGCTCATGCACCTGGCGTGTGCACGTGCTTCCTAACACGCACCCCGTACCCCACCATACCCCCACTTCCCCTCACGGCAATCGGTGAGAATCACACCGACATTAAAGGGGAGAACAAAGGCCCCGGTCACATGCCACTTAGTGGAGAAGTGACGTCTGGGCTGCACTCGAGACCTGGGAGGCACTTGGGGTGCAGAGAGCAGCGGAATTGTCCCATGGCTGAGCTCCTGCCTGCCTGCAGCCACTGCAGGGCGCCACGGTGCCGGAGCACAAGCTCCTGACCTGGCGGCTGCACGGTGACGTCACACGGCTCAAAATTTCTTGCTGATCAGACCAGCCATGAAGAACAGAGAAACTCTTTCAAACAGGCGAAAGTCATGTGCAAAAGCCCTGGGTTGGGAGCTGCTTGGCATCCCAAATGGGCATTTGGAACCAAATGGACAGAGAACAGGGTGGAGCAGAAAAAGGGGTGCAGCCACCAGGGATCTCCTGAGGCTGTGCTGTCCCAGGGACCACACAGGGGTTCTTCTGTTGGTTCCTTCATCTGAAAGTTCATCAGAAGTCCTTGGAAGATCTGCGGGAGTGACAGTGTGACTCATGTTCTTCAGGGTCACTCTGCCCTCTCTGTGGGTCTTAGATGGTGAGGGCCCACAGGACTTGTGTGAGGCCATCGCCTGTGGCCCCAGGATGGGCTCTCTGAGACCGTGATCAGAGGGGGTGGCAGAGACCGTGAGAGGCAGTTTCAGGAGAAATCACCGAGTGAGAAGGCGTAGTGGCCTGGACATGTGGTTATGGGGCTGAATTGAGCCTTTGGAGCACAGCGGTCGCTCAGAGAATGTCCCTGGCAGCATGTGGGCTGGGGGCCAGTCCCCAGGGCCACCCCTACAACACATGTACAACCCACAGCCACAGAAAGAAGCAAAGGCTGACGTGTCCCAAGGACTCCGATTCCTCCGTGAAGCATGTTATGTCATCACTCCTGCCTTCTCTATTTGTAACTTTATGTGCAGTTTCAACATAAAAAATGATAATAAACAGAAACAGTGAGAAAGTCTCTTCAGGCACGTTTATGTTAAGATGCATTAAATAGCTGCAGCTTATACAAGGCACAGAAAGTAAGCCTCCATAAACCCCTCCAGCTGGGAACGGGGTTTGAGTGTCACCTCAAGACCCTGCGGCTAGGACCCAGAGCCCCTACTCAGAGGCACACACGGATTAGCTTTCTGGAGGCTTCAGCCGGGCAGAGTTCAAACATCCGTGGGGAGTTCATTCTCACGTACAGGCCCTAACAACAAAGCGCAAACTTCCCAATCTTAAGATAAAAACAGTCACTACCCTTGTGTATTAACCCCAGTTTTTCTATTTTTCTATATTTACATGTTTGTTTTCATAGTTCTATATTTTCCATGTATTTTTCGTCATTCTAAGCAAACAGGTTCCCAGGTTTGAGAAACACTGATGAAAACCAGCGTTTGGAGAAAGGTCGGTGCCTAACGGAACCCGGGGATTCCGTGCGTTGGTCAGAAGACGGCCCGGCGTGGAGGGGGTGTCTGTTCCTGCCCACGGAGCAGGGCTGGGACTTTGGCGCCCTCAGCATATCCCTCTGCATGTGACGGACATTCCAGGAATTCTCTGCCTTGGATTTTAACTCTTTCAGTGAGGTCACCCAAGCAGGGTGTGGCTGGGGATCTGCAACAGCTGACATGGTAACTGGATATTTGTCTCAGGGACCGGCGCTTGTGTTCCTGTCTTCCCATGGTGCTCAGGGACGACAGCATCCTGTCCCTAGGACGTTTAT